AAATACAATGAATCAAAGCTACTTAAATAGACCTAGCCAATCCTACTACTCTTAGAGAAGTCCTAAACAAATTACAATTGAAAAAGGAAATCAAAACCAACAATGAAAAGGAATTAAACACAAAACAGCAAAGGAATCCAATTCCGATAAGGATTCAGATTGCCTGGTCTTACCAATGGGAGTAACACCTACGACCTCCACCCACGATATTTTATACGCATTGGTCTTAAACGTTGAGTCAATCAGAATCACGTACGGCCAAGCCTTCAACATCTGGATGGAAGTTGGATGGGCAAAAAAAAGGTGGGTCAACACGTCGTTATCGTCCTTCATTAACCTCTATATGATAATTCTCACATTCAGCTCCTTGCAATGCATACTGGACTGCATTCATCTCGCCCATGCCGTCTCTCCTAGACTTGGACCCGAGGTTATACATTTGCTTGTTGGTGTGATGCCCTATTGTCTGCTTCTGTTGCATCGGAGGTATCCCAGCATCTCTCATCTGCTTCTGAGATTCTTTATCCTCCTGACTGAATTTCTTCATCTGACTGTGGCCCTCCGGAGAAAGCATCTTCTCATGATTGTGATACCCTCGCCTCCTACCGGTTTCTTGCTCAATCACTTCTTGTATCTCCTAGAATGTCAGTCCATTAAGAGCATCTGGATTAACAAGTAGTTCTTTGATTTTAACCTTGAACATGCAATTAGTCCCTTTTGAACCTGTATTGGCACGACTCTCATTGGAAGGATCCGACTTGTATGACTTCCTCTCCCTACTGCATCTGTCGCAATACATATAACACATACCTAGCTTTCTTTTGTTACACAACTCACTGGCTTCATCGAGTCCTTAGTTAGAAAGAAACCAAGAGACATCGCGATGTCTTTTGTCCTGTTACAACATCTTTGAAATTGTCATATTGGACGTCATTGAGGAAACAGTTTGTGTACTCCTCTGTTAGTTCTACGTTGTAAGCCATGTTCACCTACAATTATGATTTTACAACTCGTTAGAGAGAGACAAATTTTATGATTCAACACAACTAATTAATGAATCAAGTAATATAAAAATCAATTAACTCTACAAAATAAAACTAAACACAATAATTTAATTAACTCTACAAAATAATGATAAGCAATTTAATTAAACATAAATTATTAAACGAAATTAGCTCTACGAATTAAAACTAAACACAATAAACATTATAGCGCTACAACAAAACACAATCACTTAATTAAACTATATACGAGAAATTAACTATGTAAAATAAAACTGAAAGCAATAAATTAAATCTAAATTATTAGCTCTAAAACAAACATAACTAACACCATGTGTAATTAATTTAACTATAAATAAACATAAACATCAACCAACTCTAAAATAACAATAACATAAATATGATCAAAATACAAAAAATAAAATTGTGTCAAACCCGTCCGCTCGCCTGAGTCAGATGGGGTCCGCCTGCACCGGTCGGACGGAGTCCACAATCTATTGTCGGGGGGGGGGGGGGGGGGGGGGGGGGGGGGGGGGGGGGGGTTCCGCCTGCTGATGTCGGACATCGTCCGCTCGCCGACGTCGGACGAAAAAATAACCGTCTGACACCTTTTGGCAGACGAGACAAAACAACTACGGTAACGAGGTTACCTCCTGAAGGCTGTCGTCCGCTCGCCGGCGACTTTGGCTGGCGATGGTAGTTCTGCGCTCGCCACCGTGGCTCCGGCGATAGTGGTGGTGGGTCGGTGGTCGGGTGGTGGTGTGGGTTCTTTAAAAAAACAAATCAAGGAATAGAATATAAAGAAATTATAGAGGGCAAAACTGTAATTTTAGTTTAATTTAAGGGCGGCAAATAACAACCCTCTAGAAAAGAGAAATAGCCTTAAAAGTAACAGGGAAAGTTAATAAATATCAAAATCTCATAAATCAGATTGAAATATTTTACCTCGTGCGAGAGCGATGGAGGTGAACAAAAGATAAAGAGAGTTTGAGAGGTGAAAATAAAACTAGGAGGGAGGGAAGTTGGGATATGGGCAACGGTAATAACAGAACCAAAACAAACAAGTCCAAAGCTTGCAACTCCAGGGGATGGGATTAGGTTAGCACCATGCTAACTATATTTCCTGAAAATTTAATCTAACGATTAAAATTAAGTAAAGGTTAATTTGGTAAAAAACTATAATAATTAACCCAAACCCTAATATATATATATATTCTACCCACCCTCATTGTAGCCGCACCCTTCTTGTGAAACTGTCGCTCGGCCTCCTACCCCTCACACACTCCTCTCAAAACCACTCATCCCACCATTCTCTTTTAACAATGGCGAGGCATCTGTCAACTGCAGCCACAACAAATAGGACTTGCGACGGAAAGTGGGCGATCGTGCTTCCAACGTTGTTGAGAAGCAAAGAAGTAGGCTGCGACATGATTGCGTCGCGCATCTGACATCGGCGAGAAGTGGGCGGCGGGTCAGATCTGTTCACGTTGATGCCATTCTCGAAGAGACAGGTTGAAACTCGACCGCGGAACGTTTGCGATCGCGCTTCTAACATCGACGAGTAGCGGACGCCGGTTAGATCTGTTCACATCGTCGCCATCCTCAATCACAATGTTGATTGCTACCCTGAGGACATTCTTCATCGGCTTTGCATTGCATGATTCATAGGCGGCCAGATCTGTAAAAGTTACCTTTTAGTGTGTGTAGTAGTGTGTTTATTGGGAGATGAATGATCATATATGTAGTAGCTTCCCCAACTCTCATATCTCTCTATTACCACCTCTGTATCGGTTTTGGTTTTGTAACGTAGTAGTATTTAGTACTTTGATTTGTACCTATTCTATGTATTGGATATGGCTTGATTAGTAGTGATTGTATAATAGTGATTTATCAATAGTGATTTTGTATTTTATGTAATGGTTTATAATTTTCAATTGATTCTTATGTAAAGTCGTGATTGAGAAACACTACTAATAACAATAGAATATCAACTATAAACAAAATTAAAATTGTTGATAGCAACAAAATCACTACTTACCATTATAAAATCACTACATCATCTTTACAAAATCACTATTAATTTAAGCAGTAGTATTTTTTCAGTAGGAATCCCATTTTTTCAGTATAAAATCACTACATTAAATTTAATTTCTGTTTTTATTTTGAAAAAATGTGTATTAATTAATATTTCCCAAAAATAGCAACCGTCTCCAGAGGAATCCCATTAAATCCGCATTTCCAATTTTTTCGATAAATCATCATTTATTTTGTATTTAATTATAGCCATTTAATAAAAAATAAAATTAAACCATTTAAATATTAGTTAGTACGGTGCTAACCCCCTATAGGATTAGCACCGTAGCTTGTCCCCAACTCCAGAAGACATCTCACATTGCCAACAACAACTGCTTGGACTTCAGACTGAATCCTATTCACCAGCTGAAGAAGAGGGAAGTTGGGATATGGGCAACGGTAATAACAGAACCAAAACAAACAAGTCCAAAGCTTGCAACTCCAGAACACATCTCACATTGCCAACAACAACTGCTTGGACTTCAGACTGAATCCTATTCACCAGCTGAAGAGGAGGTATAGCCAATCCATCTCCAAACACCCTTCTGCACCTCTTCCTCAATGTATGACTAAGTACCTTGCTCTAAATCAGCTTGCCAGTGCGTAAGCAGGTATTACTACTTTGTCGTTGATGAATCAACCAACTCGACAAGGTTATCCAATATATCCAGGTCCCAATAGGTGCTAAAAGCGCAGAACACCCTTTCAAGTCAAATTCAGTGTAAGAGGAGCAGTTCACAAATAAGTGATTTCGGATTTCAATTCCACCAGGCCCAGGGCATAAAACACAGGCATTATGAGAAGGTTCCCCCGTAAACCAGTTAGCCCTTGGTAACTACTACATCAAGCATCACTAACCAGAATGATATGATGTGTTTAGGAATAACGAATTTACCACAGACAACCTTATACTTGTTAACTACAATACAAGGAGAGACTACATCAAGCAGTAGCAGGTTGCAGGCTGCAGAGATAGTAGAATATACCTGCACGTGATGTTCCCGAAAAGGCTGGGTTTGTTCTTCTCTTCCTTGCAAGCTCCAACTTCCACCCAGCAATCCACTGATCAGGCATCAAATTTCTCTACTGATTGATCCCTGCAAGCTTCTCCGCAACAGAACAAGAAGAACTATACAATATACAACTGCACAGAACGATTTCATTGTTTTGCAGTTTACAGTGGCACATTTAAAACTTGCTTCTACAATGAAATTACCCTTCTCCCTGATAGTTGAGCCGACCAAATATCTTCATTGGAATCGCCATGGCATGCACATAGGCCAATTTTATAGTCAAAATGATTCGATATCATCAGTTTTTCTTTTTCTATTCAGTTTCAGAGGCCCCTTGAGCAGATGGGCGTACCTTCCCGGTAGCTACTGGCTACCAACATAGCAGACTCTTGACTCCATCCATAAAGGAGCTTTCGGATGTTATGGGAGTCGCATGATAAAATTGATTAACTGCAGTACTAGGCTTTAGCTATGAATATCCTCATCAATAATTCTACAAAGACATTCTACGTTATGCATTGCTTCCCTGTGAGGACAGTTTAAAGCATGGCAAAAACACAAGCAAGAGAGTGAGATGTACTAAATCAGACAGAACTAGACCAGAAATTTGACTGTTGCAAGTATAATTGAAATTTATATAAATTTGAATAGAGTTTCACATTTCACTGGAGAGTTAAACAAAAATGCGGCTTCAAAGCCCTCTGCTTGCAGTAACAAACTACAAACACTTCTGCATTAGCATGTTCAAGTATGCGTACATAAAAGAGAATACAAGGAGAGTCCTGGTTCTGAAGCTTTGTGGCAGTTTTGATACCAAGTTGAAGGGGGTTGTTACTCAGAATGAATGCCGCAGCTGAGGATTCCAGTATCAGAAGAAGGGGGACAGTTCCTTTTATGTTGTGGGGGAAATCGGCTATACTTTCGTCGAAGCTTCAATCATCAGCTTATAAAGCGCAAATCCACCTTGATGACAGCCAGGCATTTTACTTTTCATGTGTTCTAAAATCACCTAATATGCAAAGATCCATAGCAAAATTTATGAGCAAGCAGAGTATTCACCTATTTCTAAGTCCAAAACTAATTGATTATAGATGGAACTAACTGGAAGTGATACTTCTATAATTTCACAGGGCACAAATAACCAACTTAGTTGTAGAGATAACAGTGTAGATTGAACTAACCGGTGAGACCGTGTGAAGTTGGATTGACTCGTAGCCATCTAGTGCACTAGAGTACAGTTGATGGATTTCCTTGGATGGCAGGTTGCATTTCATATAGAAAAATGCAGCTGGTCTGACATTCAAGATCCTGCGAGAGAGACCAATAAAAACTGGAGTTGACTGCAAAAAATAAGAGGAAAAGGCAATTTAGATAAATTGTTCATGAAAAAATTGAACAAACAAGCAGAAAAACAACAGCTGCTGAGCAATATCCAATCCCACAGGGAATGCCTCTGCGGGAGGTGATAACTTACAAGAGACGTTGCAGGTACTCCAATTTCTTCAACTACTTCACGAGAAATACTGTCAAACATCTCTTCAGAGACCTTCTTGTTGAGTTCCTCAGTTGTGACAACAGGATCCTGACCATTTTGACTAGATGCTACTTCAACTTTTTCAGGCTGTGCATTGGTCAAATACTAGAAAACATCAGCGCTGTCCGCACCGTACACAAACTACCAAACCCAACGGAAATAAACTAGAGTGGAAACTAAATCTATTGAATTTTTGTGGTACTGGAATGTGTTATGCAAGAAAAAAATGTCAAAGCAGAAAAGAAGAACTAATCACAAATTTGAGCAATTCTTACCTCTGGATGACCTCCAGGAAAAACTAAATGTCCCGCAAATTCTCCAACATTATCACTTCTTCTCAACACAACAATTTCATTGTCAGCGGTTACCACAATTGCGCCATTACCCAGTGGATTTGCTGTATGTTGGCACTTTATCACATCCTCTACAGTGAGAACCACCAAGATCATAAACAACTGTTTCCAAGGTTAAAAACATTAGAAAAGGCAATTCACTTCTGTGATGAAGAAAAATTGATGCCTGCAAATACCTTCAGATGGTGCAAGGAAATTTTCCCACAAAGGATTCAAGTTTGTCCCGACAAATGTCCTGGGAAAGATGCTGATAGCATTAAATTTTTTCCATGAAGAAAAAAACAATGATGCACATAGAAACCATTATATGCATGAAGAAAATTCATCAATTAGAGATTCTCGCTAATAGTTTCAGTTCATCTGGACAGCACTAAGAAGAAAACTAAAGTATGATCTGAAGAAAAAGGGGAGGGAGGACTCAAAAATCAAAACTAGTTGATGAGGAATATGATCAGCAACATGACAGCTATAGCCTAAACATAATTCATTCATCAACAAACACTAAAAAGGAAAACAAAAGTCTGACACTGAACCACACCCATGGTCTGCATCACATCAAGGCTAGCCTCATCATTCATTGACCAACAAGTGAAAGAACTGACGGATGAGCAGATCAAGAAACTAGGAATTTTCGACTTGCAGTTGTGAACGATAAAAACTGTTAACGTGTTTTGCAAGCAGAAGAGTTATGTCCATGCTCACAGATAACAGCGAAAGCTCAATCCATGCTAAAAGACTTCAACGTTTATCTTTTGCAGTTGGATGAATAGATGTTTAACTGTTACATAATTGACCATCTGATATCGTACAAGTCAGTTCAATTTTTTACAAAAAATAATTTAACACAAAGAGGGGAGGAGGGAGGGAAAGAGACCGGTAATCTGTCGAGCCAAGGTGGAGGCATGCTTGAGAAACTCCTCTAGCTTCACCACCATCCTGAAGACTACATCCGCCATACTGCCAGGATATGAGCACAAGAACGCATTACCAACATCAGCTCATCGGACCTTCAATCTGCCTAAAAGTATAAGCGCTTAACTTGTTCTCATACAGTCACACTAATGCATTATTTCATTTCATGTGCCCTCACATTTGTTTTGAAATTTAGTTCAGAAGCATAGAGATAAACTGCAAAGGAGATTTGATTTCTCAAGGGTGGTAATCATCTAGTTGAAGTTACAAGCCATAAGGGAATGCAACGTGTAGAATAGGTTAAGTTTTCCAGAGTAGTTTGTCAGGTAGACAGTTTCCAAGTGAAAGCTAACAGATTACAATAAATTAGAATTAGAAAGCATGCCTCCTTCCAAATTCCTGCAAGATTCAAATTTCGCAAAACCAATTGGCATAATAAAGTACTAGTTGGGTCATCTAATAACTATATCCTCCAATGCTCTCGGTTTTGATAAGGTAAGTGGATTCCGTAAGTTCCAGTTTCCCACAGAGAGAAGTGGTCGCATAGCCTATAACTATGAAATGGGTACACTTCTCTGATGAGACCTAGACGAACTGTACGGCAACATTCATCAGCGAGCCAGGACATAAAAGATATCAGTAAACTTGTAATCATCGACATACCCGGAACTTCTTCCCATTGTATAAAGATGAATTGCTCTGAATTCTGTCCTCCCATATCTACAAGCAAATGAAGATCACAGTAAATGAGTGAAAGTCACAATTTTTGAGCAACTGATTTGTCTACAGATCTGACACAGAGATTGGAAGTAAGGCTCTCTCAATGAGCATTCACCAAAAGCTACCGCTCTGTCTATAACGCAATCAAGAAAACTGAAATGTAGTTATATTAAAAGAGGGCGGATACCGTGATACTCTACAACGGAGAGTCTCAAACAAACAACAACGCATGCACTCATCGCCCCAACATAGATTATAAGAACTCACTTGGCCTATGGAGTCCTCCAATTCAGCGTTCGGATGCGGGATTCTATCGTACGATCGATCAAAAATCACGGCCAACTTGCTCCAACGGAAAACAAAAATTCCCAATCAGTATTATATTGCGTGCAACCTGCTAGCTAAATTACATCAAAAGGAAGAAGGGAAAAAGAACCTGAGATGGCGAGAGTCCAGATGGGCAGGTGAGCAGGAGCTTGTAGTCCGCTGTTTCCATTGCTAAAAAGGGAAGGCCAACTGCTCGACAAAAGTCCTCTGCCAAAATTTGCAGAATGGCGAATCACCAATGCAGCGTTATTGGTAACGAATGGCCTACGCCCCACGGTTCGATCAGCTGTTTATTTCACGCTTCCCATCTAGAGTCTAGACGAGTCATGAATCGGTTCAACTAATGTCGAGTTCTGGGAAAAAAATTTGTAATTAAAAACATGGGTTATCTCATGAGGATTAGGGATTACAATTTCGACTTGCCCGTTTTACCCGTACTGTTTGGCATGTTTTGTGGCGGGGCGGGCATGGGTACTCTTATCGACCCGACCTGCCCTGACCCAATCCGTCTCATTCTTGACTAAATTACATGTAATTTTAGTCAAATTACTTGAGATTTTCCTTTTATTACATAATATTTAAGCTATAATAAAGTTATAAATTAGTGAAAACTTCGATTTGTCCTATAATTTTGCTGCATTTATCATAATATGGTTTGTTTTCTTGGCCTTATAATGAAATTAACGAATATTTCTAATGTTTTTCATATAAATTGCATACTCATTGGGTCAACTTGCCCTGACCCGCGACCCATGATAAATTACCTGACCTGTACCCGACCTGCCACAAGGCGGGTATGGGTACCGTGGTACCCGCCCCGGAGCTGCCTCATTGCCATTCCTAATGAGGATTGTTATTCACCGCCCTACTTTTTACTAATTATCGCCCTAAATTGAAATAAAAAGTGCTAAATGCCCTTCATGAATTTCCCCTCCCTTCCCCTCAGCTTGGTATGAAGTATGAACCATCCTATTTTACATGGTCCGGATCGGGATTGACCATTCCACTATTTGAACATCATATTCTTCTAAAGCAAATAACATATTTACTTAATACAAATATCATAGTTTTTTTTTTTTACAAAAAGCTCACTTATATTAGCAAGAACACCAAGATACATCGTTTCAAACTCCGACCAGAGTCAAGCTCTAAAATCAAAACTAGTACAACTCGTAGGAAACAATAACATGGCTTTTCTAGCCACCCTATGGGCTACCTTATTGTTCTGCCTACCAACAAAACAAATCCGAAAACTCTGCACAAGCAGTAGCAACTGACGAATTTCCTCTAGCAAGGCTCCACCCACAGCATCGCAGACTGCACCAGCATTAAATTTGTCAATAACAATATTCGCATTCCCTTCAATCCGTATTGCAGAAAGACCCTTTTCTTGACACCACCTGATTGCATCCCGCAACGCCACAGCCTCAATCAGCAATGGATTCTCAAGCCCAACATACCACCGCCCTTGAGCCTCCACCACTGAATTAGTCCTGTCCTTCAACACCGACCCCACCGACGCATGTGATCCCGAGCAAACCGCCCCATCAAAAGAGCACACCAGTTGCACGGCACCCTCATCCACTTCGACTATCGCAACCATCTCCGTCGACGCACCCATCTCAAGGACTGCTCCCCTTCCTTCCGGTACCTGCAACCATTCCTGAACCTGAAACTGGAGTCTAAGTAAACTAGGTAAAGTCTGTTTTCCCTCAAAGGCCACTAGGAGAAGCTAGGATGCTAACTCCATAGGGGTTAGCACCGTACTAACTATAATCTTGACAGTATATTCCAAAATTAAATCTAATGACTACAAAATTAATAAGGGTAAATCGGGAGGAAGCTACATTAATTATTAAATTTCGATTTTTATTTATTGCGTTTTTGGATATTGGGCGGATTTAGTGGGATTGAGTTTTTAGGATTTTAATGGGTGCAGTTACAAGTTTTCCTCAACAATGTCTCTCTCTCTCTCTCTCTCCCTTTTCTCCATCACGGCCTCTCTCTCTCTCTCCCTTCTCTCCATCACGGCTCTCTGTCTTTGCATAGTAAAACACTACATTCTTTGAAAAAATACTAGTCACTCTTTTCTTCAGGTATGTAGTAGTAATTTGGTGTGTAGTATTGATTTATTAGTAGTGATTTTGATAAATTTTTAATAGAATCAATATTACTATATAGGTTGTTGTAGTCAATCATAATAAATCACTACTAATTCTAGTAAACATAAAAATAAAGCACTACTAATACAAAATTATAAACGCTGCTACATCATGTCCGTAAATGCGGGATCCATAAATTCAATGCTATAGAATCATTGCTACTACCATCATATCTATAAAATCACTATACTACTATTACAAAATCACTACTATCGAGAATCCTCCACTATCTACATCTTTCATCAAATGTAATCTCTTCTCTTGCACTCCTTATCATTTCATGAGTCAACAGCTACGAACAAAAACAAAAGAAACACTACATGATTTTCATCATTACAAAAAACACTACATCTGCATAAGAACAAACAGGGGATACTTGTGGAATGGAAATGGCAGACAAGGGCAAACACTACTCCTTCGTTTAGGAAGGATAAAGAAACAATACTAAACCAACACGAAAACACTACTAATCATAATAGGAATCGCAACCAGCCTACAACCATGACTCATTTCGCGGTAAGGTGTATCCTAACACTAATCACTACCAACGAAACAATATTAACCACACGTGAAAACACTACAAACTGAACTTTTGGACTATTCACTTTCTCATCTACAAACTGAACATCGTCGAAAAAATAAATAAATGCATCCCACTCCGATCAGATACCAAAATAGAGCTCGGATCTAGAAACCTATAGTCAACCTCCCTAAAGGACAGATCTTGATCGGGGAAAAAAATCAAAGCTGGGGCACGGGGCAAGCAATTGCGCCGATGAGAGAATGCAAAGACGATTGATAAGGTTTAACTACTACCTGAGGCGGCGTCTCAATCGAAGACGAGAACGGCTGAAAGTGGGGTCGTCGAAGGCGCTGACGACCGTTGATGACTCGGTATTTGCACATGTTTTCCCCTTTGTTTCTTGATTGTTTGAGCTTGAATTATTGCGTCTTTGTCCTATTTTATGCTAGGTTGTGTTCCTTTGTCACATTTCAGGTCCTAGCACATAAAGTGAAGCATAGGCGCAAGTTTCAAATCAATCAGAGATCAATTGACGATTCGGGAGAAGAAACTCGGGCATGACCTGAAGAAGAATGGATTTCTACCTCACTTTATGGACAAATAATCATGCAAGCTTGTCATGAAAAGAAAGAGGACGAGACTACGAGCATCTAGGATCAAACGGGGACTGATTCGGAGTCCGAACGTGGGAGAAACGAAGCATTAAACAGAGGCTGAGCAAGCCACACGGGCATCCTGGAACTCCACACGGCCGTGTGGGTCGTGGCCGTGTGGAAATCACCGAGCCTTCACACGGGCAGCTATGAAAAGTATAGGTACTAAACTTTAATTTTTCAAATATCAATGAATCCAGGCTATCGAGCAATCGAAACATTAGATTAATTTGATATTTTAGTTGGTGGTTTGGATAGGATTAGTGTATTTGATACATAATTACCACCTCAAATATCAAATATTCTCCCAACCAAATTCGTGCTTATGCCCTTTTGTGTCTTTCATATTAATTTCCTTATTATTGGGGTATCTTCTTCATACCATGTGACCAAATAGGTAACTTCTTCATAACAACATTCTATAGTACTAGAACCCTTAAACTTGTCCAACGAACTCCTCAAACAACTTGGCGAACACTTCCATTCGATTCTCCTCCCACAGAGCTTTCGCCACAAGATAGTGAAAAAACAAGTGTTTCGTACTTTCCACTTCCGCCCAGCAGACCGGGCATCGGAGCAAAACCGACCTTCTTATCATATAGCACCTCGATCGTCGTCAAAAGTCTTTGAAACATTTCCCATGCAAAAAACTTTAGCTTGGGTTGAATATGGAACTCTCATATCTTAATCCAGAAGTTTCGATCCATGGAGCTACATTCTTGTCTCCATTTCCCCACCAATCGGGACTTTCGCTCATCTAGCTTATATCCGGATTTGATCGTATACACCCCAGACGGGTCCTCCCTCCAGACCAGCTTATCAGGGATAGCACTCCGCGGCAAAGGAATTTCTAGAATGGCATGCACCATTTCCGGATAGAATGCCGAATCTAAATACACCTTGCACCATTCACCTCTGTCCTGGTCAATCAACGCAGAAACCAGGCCCGATTACGCCCAAATATCCTCATGTCGCACTTACGGACACTGAAGGTAGATAGATGGGATCCACCCTTCTGACACAATCGGTATGAATGATCCTGATCCTACCTGAGCAGTCATGCCTTGTCTAACACTACAAAAAAGGCGGTCAATACCGATTTTCGTCATAATTGATAAAATTTCGTCGGAAAGTATCTTTTACGACAACATTTCGTCGTCAAGCGTCGTCAGAAATTGTCCCGTCGCTAATAAAATATTATTGACAAGTCCTCAAATTTACAATATTATTGACGACATGAATACGTTAGTAATAAAATAAATGACGTCACAAAAGAAATCACTCATGACGGATGAATTTGACGAACTTTTTTTTACGACAACATAATTTATTTTTGACGCATTATGCTTGTAGGAAAACCATTTTTCTGACGAGACGTCATAAATACTAATTATACTAATGTCCATAATTCATCGAAAATACCTATTTGCGACCAGAATTTGAAGCCGAAATTTTTTTTTGATACGTTGTACATACATTTTTGAGGATGTGTATGCGTCACTAATATATTACTATCGACGTTTAGTAAAAAATATAAATTTTACTGATGCCGATAAATTGTCGTTAAAACTATGTTTTTTTCCGACGTGTCGTCGGAAAAATTATTATTTCCGAGGAAAACTATTCATCATAAATAAAATCTTTTCCAACGTGTCGTTGGATAAATTTTTATTTACGATGACAATTATTCATCATTAAAAAAATCTTTTCTCACGTGTCGTTGGTTATATTTATATTACTGAGGACATGTTTATCATCGGAAAACATCTTTTCCAACGTGTCATTGGAAAAAATATATTTACTGAGGACATGTAATTATCACCAAAAATTATCTTTTCCAACACGTCATCGGAGAAACTACATTTACTAATTATTCTTAATTATTGTCAATTGTGTAATTACATCTATTAACGACGACGACATTTGTTGCTAGTTGCTTGATCAAATTTCATTTGTGACGTCATTACACTTCTAGTGATGACAACACAAACAATCATCCAAACAAAGTTATGCATATTCCAAAATTAACTTTCAAACAATCTAACAAGTAGCCATCAGCTACGACCAAACATCCAAACTTCAAAAGGCAAAATATCCTCCGAAAATGACACAAAATATCCCAAAGTCAAGCGATACTTAGAATCCTACGATAGCATTCAAAATAAAATCATGCATCAGCAGCAGTCTCCTCGGCAGTCTCCTCGTCGGACTCGTCGTCAGCCACATCGTTACCCTGAGTTTCCCCAACTCGACCTTGTTCCCACTACAACAAATTCGACCTATTAGGACAAAAAAATTATTTTGTCATTTTCTGTTTGTCACAATAGGTAAGATGATATGACAAAAATAATATATGTCCTATTTGGTATGCCTAATGTGACAAAATAAATGTTGTCAGAATAAGTCGTCATTCAAACTGAGTAATGTGACAAATATTTTGTGTCACAATTAATTTTTCAAAATAGGCGTCCCATATCGGGATGTAAGAGACTCAACAGTGACAAATTTCTTGTTGTCAGAATATTTCGTCATTTAAAGTGAGTAATGTGACAAATATTTTGTGTCACAATTCAGTTTGTCAAATTATGTATTCCTGAATTGTTTAAATGACAGTATTTTGTCACAATAGATAGCAATAATCCAACGACAAGCTGACAAAAGGGCATGTTCGTCATAATATAGTGGTTTCGACTTTGACAAAAGGCATGTTCGTCATAATATAGTGATTTCATTTTTGACAAAAGATATTTTCGTCATATTTGATTGTTGAACTCACACAAATCCCATTCCCCACCCAAAATTCGACCATACCCCGCCTAAATTATAGCCATGTCCCGGCCAAAAAATTTCCCCAAGCCCGCCCACATTTCCCCTGTAATTGAAAAATTCAAATCATGCACCCACCCGCCTGCCCCTAATAACCATTTAATTTATTGATCCTTTTCCCCCTTCTTCTCTTTATCAGTGTTATTATAAACTGAAACTTAAAAAATAAAAAAGGAAAAAACGTTGGGCTCATTGAACCCTAATTCCATTTCGTGAGGAACCAGAGACAAGATCTGAAAGCTCCGCCCCAAAACCCATTGCCTCTTTGTCGCTCGCTGTTGCTCGTTGATTTGGAACCAACGATTTGGCGAAGAAGACTAGTGGTGGTCCTTCCCCTCAATGCAGTCAAATCGCGCTTTAAAACGTAAAATAGTACATTTTTACCTCTATAAGCCACAAAAACGCTTTAGTTTCTACCTAAAATCACACAGTACTTACAAACGTAAAAAGATGTAAGTAAAAGCGGTAAAAACGGTATAAAAAAACGATTAAATCGCATTTCTGCTACGATTTTATACATTTTTTAGCACGTAAAATGAATGCTACGATTTTACCTCTATAAGCCACAAAACGTAGTCGCTTAACAATGTTGAGACAAAAAAAAAAGAAATTTGGAAAGGGCTCGGGCTAGCTTTGTCAAGAGACGAGAGGAGGGATTCAGAAATCCAAACCCTACTTCATCTTCTTCTTCAATAGCAGCCGCTCTCCCGCTCGGCGCCACCTTCATCTTCCAGTTCAATCATCGTCGGCTACATCCACCGCTGGTCGCTGCAAATCCATCCGACCCGGCGGCAGCATTTGAAATCTGGTGCCACCTCGTCATTCTTCCCGTTCAAATCATCGCCGGCAGCCTCAGCCGCCTCAATCGTGCGTCTGCCGCTCCAAGAACTTGTCATCGTCACCCCTCCCAACTTGTGTATTTGGAATCAACCTTCCCATTGTTAATTTGGAATCATTTTCCTTTGTTCTAGCAAAACTTATCATCGTCTCCCCTTGTTATAAACGCGCTGTTACGGAGCGAGACCCCCGATTACCAGTCGTAGCGGCTGATAATCCGATTCAAGTCATATCAACACCCCTCACAACTCCTCTCTACCTTTGCAATTCTGCTAACTAAGGTGGGTGGGTTTGCTAAAAAATAACTTTTTTACTTGGTATCTATTCAATTATGTGTAGTGTAATTGCCTACTATGTCGATTTCCCCCTGTTTTAGCCATATTATTGCTTGTGCTGATATTGGGAGATTCACAGGAGTTCAAAGGGGGGATTGGAATAGTGGATTGCTTCCCGTGTCAGCTTTTGATTGCAGAGCTATAACTTTATAAATGCTAATCTGCTACTGCTTTCTTAGTTTAGAGTAGCCTAAATTTTCCTTGTCTTCTTTGTTTTGTTGTTTATTAAACTCTTGGTTTAATGAACTTGATAATTTCACCATCGTCATTTCTTTATTTATCTTACTTGTGATCAATGTTTATGAACTCTTGGTTCACATGATATGAGTAATGATTTATTGCAGGTAATTATTCACTTATCTATAATTTCTACACTAACAATTTTTTATATAGTACATATCGTACTTAACAGATTTTAGCTATTTTATTGGATGCATAAAAAACTTACACTTTTGTTTTTCCTCTTCTTTCATTAGTTATTGTTTGTTGGAGCTAACAGACTCTTCTTTGGTTCCATGGAAAATTCTATAAAGGTGTGTTCACTCTCATTATCTTATCATACTACCTGTTTCAGCTATATTTTAATTAAACAGTCATGTTTGCTATATATATTCAATTGTATTGTCTGGTTTTACTAGACACATTATGAATTTTCTGGCATAGGAAAGAACTTTCAGAACCTGAAACTGAGAACATGGTTTACATTTTGACCTGAATTTTCCTGGCACAGGATATCGTTTACCAAAGTGTGAAAACTAGGAGCTTCAAAATCTAATCCAAGAAAATGCTTAGAGCAAATCGTTCACAAATCTTGTCCGTTCGACCAGAGCTTCGTTGTTCTCATCAGAAGTCCAAGAGGATCGAGATCATCACCGTATCATCATTGACTTGAGGAGCCAGTCATGAGATTATTTAGAAGGTCCTGAAGAAAAATGTGAAGTATGGACCAAAGGTGAACCCAAGATCCACAAAGGAGTTAGAATGTTTTGTGTCATAGTGAACAACTTAGAATGTTTGGTTATGCTGAACAAGGAATTAGACTGCCATGGAAATGGTTGTAATGTCTTGGATCTTTGATAATCTTTCCATTATCAGGTTGCAATGCACCAAACAATTTCGAATTATGAAATTTTTGAAGCAAGTCAAATGTGACAACAATGTCATGTCGTCACATTATGTACATTGACTGACAAATTTTTCTCTTGTCCTATTAGACATGAGACAATTAAACCACCTTTCCTAACAGCCTATACTCTTCATAATATGCAGTTATGACAAAGTATATTCATCATAATATTCAGTTATGACAAAATAATGTTGTCACAATAAACACTTGAGACAAAATGTAGTCGTTACAGTTATGACAAAATATAATCGTGTAATATGACGAAAATTCTCCCCAAAATCACTAAATTATGACAACCATAATGACAAAATATGTCGTCATAACATCTTTTTTTTTTTTGTCACAATAGACTACCCAGAACCTCAGCTATACTGAAAGCAAATGTGACAACCTTGTTTCAAATTTTTGTCACATTTGACCATCTTGACGGCGATAAAATGACAAACCTTTGTGACAACAGCTCTTGCCATATTATACCTAATATGACAAAAATGGTATCTAATATGACCAAATTGCCTCGTCATAATAAGCCGAATTTGTTGTAGTGTCCCCATTTGCTTCACTGTTGAGATCCTACATAGAATATAACAATAAATTAGCCATAGCTTCGAAAATTATGTAATGAGTAAAAAATAAAACATGGCAGCAAAATACATACCATGTCGAATGACTCGGGCAGCCGCACTCTAAGTCTCTGCAAGACAGATTCAACAATGTGAGGGACTGCATTCCTCACATCTACGATCTCATCCTCCAACTTCTTCATTTTATCATAATTTTTTCCCCTTTCTTTGGTTCGATCCTCCTGACAACGCTTGCTGCAACCCTGTCTACCTTGACTCGATGGGGGACCGAAGACATCAACCGAGCTCACCCCATGGCCCATCCCTAGAACACCCTTTGGGCGTTGTGGTCCGATCACTTCTTGATAGCTGGCAAATTTGTTTGGTTCTTCCCCTTGGGGTACCTTTTCAGCCTCTACTTGTACCATTCCATCCTAATCATGGAGTAAATAACATCAATATAAATAAAAAAACAAAAAAAACGAGTACAAACAACAGCCTAATACTCTGTAAACAACATCAATATCAATAAAAAAAGACAACAAAACCGAGTACAAACAGCAGCCTAATACTCTGTAACATTATTGAACTTACATGTAGGGTTTTGCTTTTGACGAAACCCAGTTCTTGTCCTTCTTCACATGGAAACGTCTAAACATCTCGATCGGATCAGGTTCTTTTCCATTTTGCTTTATCTACCAATCAATTAAAAAGAAAAATTGCATTCACATGTAAACTGAGTACACTTGAAGCCTAACATAAACATTAGCAATAGTGCAGCAACTTACCTCTTCATGTCTGTACTTGGTCAATGGTGCTGAACTGCAGTGGCTGCAAGCTCACTATTCTCCCGATTCCCTTTATTCTTATCACTCATTTCCTTGAATTAGAAACAACAAACAATCAGCTCACCATTGAAAACAGATTAGGATGAAAGACAAACACCAAAGCATACACCCACTTAACTTACCACCCAATTCGGGTTAGTCCATTTCTGAACCATCTCCCTCCAAATTGATGGACTAATTTGTGGTGGTGGATGGTTCATTCTTTGATTCAGATCCTTATACTTCTTGAAAATTCGGTCTCGGAGACCATACATCCACTGGGGAAAGTTTCTCTTCACGTGGTCTCTGACCATATCGTTGAAAGTCTCTTTTGACCCAGTGTAAGTGAATCCTGAGTCCTTGAAACGAGTTATCACAATCTTGAGTTCTGAAGCAGGATACTCTGAGAACGTAATCCAAGGCCCATTGATGCTCCTTTTGAAGATAGCTGTTTCACGGGCTGCTTGAGTGGTAATTATCCTGCACAGTTTATAAAGAAGTATCAAACTAAGTAAACTGAGTACAGGGACAGGTTATCGTGAAAGATTTGAGACAGGTTGTGCAAAAAATTCCAGGGACAGGTTGTGCAAAAAATTCCAAGGAACATTATTACAGACCTGTTATCGTGAAATTCCAGGGACAGGTTGTGTCCAGGCTTTACACCCTTTTCTGGTCCTCTTCCTTTTCTTTTTTTGGTCGTCCCTATCACAAGGTCAGAATTTATAGTCAGCTACAATGCAAAGACAGAAGTAAGCCAATCGAAATAAAGAAAACCACACAATGAAACTAACCATTCAAACTTCCACCCTCTGATGACAGCAGGTCTGCAGCTGAATGTTGAGCAGTCGAATCAACCTGCTCTGTTTCTCCTTCCAATCCAGTAACAGGGGACCTTTGCTCCATTCTCGGAGTTTCAGTGATAGGAACAGGCGGATTGGTGTTCCTGCCACCTTGTCCTTCTTCATGATTCTCTGAAACAAGAGGCGGAGAGGGAGAGTTGCTCTGCACAGGTGAACGAGGTGCAGATTCTTTCCTCTGGCTTTGAAGATGGAGGTGTTTTTTTTTTTTTTGCTTTGCCATCTAGTGAGAAGCAGAATTCATTAGAGGGAGGAGAGGAATGGCAGAGAAGAGGGAATGACAAATGACGAAGAAAAGGCTTTTGGGTTCCTTTATTTGGCTCTGCCTACTGAAGCGTGTTTATGGATACTAGGGATTATTAATGAAGCGTGTTTTTGTGTAGTTATTGTGTTGTGGTAGGAAACAAGGAAAAAAATCCAGCCTTTTTTTTAGGCTAACGAAGAGGCAGATCATGTTTATGGTTCTTTACCTTTTCTGAGCAAATCTCGTTCTAGAGATCCCTCTCTTCCGTATTACTCATTTAACGCATTAATTCATTTTTTGCAATTAAGGTTTAATTACATGAATGAACAATAATTGACAAATTAGGGGGGATTGAACAGAACTAATTACATGAATAAACAATGAACCAAATTGCAAAGAAAACGAACCAAAAACAGACCCCATGGATCATGATTCGACAGACTTGGCACTGAAAATGTCCACAAGAATTGCACCATGGATGAACAACCCACATTCATTAACCAAATCAAAGTAAAAGCCACCGAACTAACTCAAAACAGACCCCATTGTGCAAAGAACGAACTAATTACCTGGAATTCTGATTCAGTTCCAATCTCAGAGAGTTCTAAGATGCTTTCTGGGTGCATGCATGTTCGATTTACACCTGCAATTGAGGAAATCAAACCGCAGCATTCAAATCCACATCTATGCATATAAATTGATTTGCTTGTACACATCCAATGGAAAGAAAAAGCAAACAAACCTATATTATGTCGACTAAGAAAGGTGAAGGAACCCAGATTCCGGCGAATAAAGATCGCCTCTCTGCCATCATTCATCTCTCTCGATTCGCAATCCGCCGCGAAACCCAGACCCACCAGAGGATTGGGCTCCCACTGCATCGCCTCGTCCATGCTGCTCAGGCTGTCGGCCGATCGTAGAAATCGACGGCGGCCGTGACGTCGCCTTCGCGCACCCTAGTTCACCAACCGCCACAGCAACTGGAAATATCGTCGTCGTCTCCTCCGCGCCCCCAATCTTCCATCATTGACAGACTTGAAATCGCCACAATCTTTTGGGTAAGTGATGAAAAATGAAATCGATTAAGGGTTTGGGTAAACAGAGTGCATGCGAGGAGGGGAGAGGGAAAGATGGAGTGTTTTGTTCTCCATTTTAATTTGTTGAGAATAAATTGATTAGCTCACATTAAAAAATAAAAATAAAAGTGTTTTATTGAAGCGAAGAGGGGAAGATGATTATGTAGGCTTTTTAATTTATGTTTTATTGCTAATAAACATTTAATACAATTATTGAATTGCAATAATATATATATATATATATATATATATTTAATTTTATATTTCATTTAAGCAAGTGGCAATGATTAAAAATATGTTGTACATTTTTTGTAGGTTATGGAAGGTGTTGATAAATCATGGATGCAGCTTCGTAATAGATCAACTATGGAGTATGCGAATGGCGTTCAAAATTTTATCGCATTTCACATACTCCAATATTCAAGACGAAGACAACAAAATACAGTGTCCTTGTGTGGACTGTCGGAATGTTATAAGAAGGGATAAACGAGAAGTTGAGCTACATCTATTACGATGAGGAATGTCACGTGATTACACTAAATGGATTTACCATGGTGAGAAATCAGACGATGATTATTCTTAAGAGGAGGATGCAGAGGATGCTGTAGACGATGGTAATGAGATGGATGTAGATGACATACGGGGGTTACTGAATGATTTGAGACCGCATTTGGATCCTGACCCCGAGAATGCCAATGCACAAGCAGAGCAGTTTTTCAAACTGGTCAGAGATTCTCAGACGCCATTGTAGGAAGGTTGTGATGAAAAGCTATCCAGTCTGTCATGCCTGGTGAAGATGATGCATTTGAAGTGGTTCAATTCTTGGAGTAATACCTCTTTTACTCAATTATTGAAGTTTCTTCGATCTACTTTCCCTATGGCACAGTCCACAATGCCGAAGAATTACTATCAAGCAAAAAAGATGTTGAGTGGCCTTGGGCTAAATTATGAAGAAATAGATGCTTGTGAAAATGACTGTGTCATTTACTACGGGGAGCTCAAAGGAGCAACGACATGCCCTTCCTGCCAGAAACCAAGGTACAAGAAAATCAGGAAGAATAGTAGGGAAAGAGTCACCAAGGTGCCCTACAAGATACTAAGATATTTTCCCATAAAGCAAAGATTACAACGCTTATTCATGTCGCGAAAAACTGCGGAGGATATGGTGTGGCATAGCGAACAACGTGTCAGAGATGGCAAATTAAGGCACCCTGCTGATAGTGAAGCTTGGAGAGTTTTGGACCAGTATGATGCATCTTTTTGTTCCGACCCTCGCAACGTCCGATTGGGATTAGCAACGGATGGCTTCAATCTATTTGGCAACATGAATAACAAGCATAGTACATGGTCGGTAATTTTGTTCCCGTATAATCTCCCACCGTGGTTATGCATGAAGAGTCCATATATATTATTGACATTACTCATTCCTGGTCCGAAAAGTCCAGGAAACAATATTGATGTCTACCTGCGACCACTCATTGATGATCTGAAGTCATTGTGGTGTGAGGGAATAATGACTTATGATGCATTCAAGCAAGTGAATTTCAACATGAAAGCTGCATTGTTGTGGACTATCAATGATTTTCCTGCATATGGTCTCCTTTCTGGTTGGAGTACAAAAGGCAAATTGGCATGCCCTTCCTGCGCAGGGAACACCTCACATTTGAGGTTGAATAAAAGATGCAAGGAATGTTACATGGATCATCGCCGTTTTTTTTGCCATTGGATCATAAATGGCGCAAGCAAAAGAAGGAGTTTAACGGCACTATAGAAAAAAGACGTGCACTAGAGCGATTATCATCCGAAGAGGTAAAAAATCAACTTCTCTCTTTACAAACTATACCTTTCGACAGTAAGGGAAAAAGGCAAAAAAAAAATCAATGGGTTTGGCAAAACTCATAACTGGAAAAAGAAGTCTATTTTCTTAGAATTGCCATATTGGTCATCGCTCTTAGTACGCCACAATTTGGATGTCATGCATATAGAGAAAAATGTATGTGATAGTATTCTTGGTACTATTATGAATATTGAGGGCAAAACAAAGGATGGTCTAAGTGCACGTCGTGATTTGGAGGAGATGGGTATAAGAAAAGATCTTCATCCTGTTGAGAGGAATGGGAAAACAGAGTTACCTAGAGCTGCATATAGCTTGACGGCGGCATAGAAGAAATCCTTGTGTCAGTGGCTATCAAAAGTTAAGGTACCAGATGCTTACTCCGCAAGTTTGGCACGTTGTGTCAATGTTGATGATCGAAAGATACATGGGATGAAAACTCATGATTGTCATGTGTTCTTGGAGAGGTTATTACCATTAGCCGCCCGTGACTTATTTCCGAAGGTCATATCGGACACACTGATTGAGCTTAGCAAATTTTTCAAGGACATATGTTCCAAGGCGGCAGCTTCTTATGTCCTACAAAACTGTGATGAGGTGCAAGATTTTATAAGGTACATATACATATATACCAATACTTATTTATTTATTGTATGATAGAATATAATTTATTTTAATGATATTAATTACAGAACTCACAAGGAACAACTAAGCTATCGAGGTGTTCGTATGGTTGAAGCAGTGCATAAGCAAGAATTTGCTAAGTGGTTCTTATTAGAGGTACATACATGTCATATATAATAAAGAATTTTCATATTTAAAAATTATCGCAAGCTAATTTTAAGTCCATCCTTGCAATTATTTGCATATTACACGAATGCACAATGATAAAGTGCAAGTTTGAATCCTTCTTTGTTATCCTTAGATCGAGAGCCAGACAAACGAGTCATGCACTACTCAGGATATTGTATCAATGGATTCAGATTTCACACTAGTTCTCGTGAGTTAACCAAAAGCCGTCAAAACAGTGGTGTGATGGTGAGAGGGGAGAACGATGGTGGAATTCATTACTATGATGTTCTCACCGATATCATCGAGCTTCGTTATACGGAAGGGCTTCGTGTTGTATTATTTCAGTGTGAGTGGTATGACACCGCTCGCGAAGGCGTTGGTTACAGGAAAGATGTACATGGCACTATTACCATCAACACAATGCGAAGGCTTAGAACAGATGAGCCATTTGTTCTGGCTAGTCAAGCAATTCAAATTTATTATTTTATGTGCAATCTTTAAGAGATCCAAATTGGGAAATTGTGGTTGAAACGCGACCATGAAATTTGTTCGCGATGCCATCTAATACGGAAGGAGAAGGAGAAGGAGCATTAAACGAAGGGACTAGATAGTGTGACAACGGGACCGGTTATTGTAACAACACCCATTGTGTTGTTATTGTAACAACACTAGTCCCCAACCAATAGGAAGCTAGGATTGTGATGACTTTTTATTAGATGAGTTGACCTAGTGTAAAATCAAAGCAGGGGTATAATTGTCATTATGAAAAATCTATTTAAATAAATAAAAAAATATTTTTTTATTTTCTGCCCAAAAATTTGGTCGTCGGAATTCTGCCACCGGTCGCCGGAAAATGGTCGCCGGTCACCGGAATATGCTTTTTATCGCCGGAATATGCTATTTTGTGGCCGGAATATGCTTATCGGAGTCGGAATATGCTTACCGGCGTCGGAATATGCTTACCGGCGTCGGAATCTAGTCACCGGGGCCGGAATATGCCTATCGGCGTCGGAGTCTACTCACTGACGGTCACCGGAGTTCGGTCAACGGTCTTCGTTGACCGGTCAACGGTCAACGACCACCGGATGTTATGGTCTGCATTGTGAGATTTATGGTTTGGTTTCTCATATTTTTTTATGCCTTTTATGGTTTGCTTTATTGTGTTTGTGGTTTGCATTGAGAAGTTTTTGGTTTGTTTTCAAAAACTTTGTGGTTTGCATTGTGAGGTTTCTGGTTTGTTTTAATATATTTGTGGTTTGCATTAGGACGTTTATGGTTTGCTTTTTTGTGGTTTGCATTAGGAGGTTTCTGGTGTGCTTTCGCAAATGTTGTGGTTTGCTTTGTGAGGTTTGTGGTTTGTTTTAGGAGATTTATGGTATGCATTAGGAGGATTCTGGTTTACTTTATTGTGTTTCTGGTGTGCTTTCGAATTTTTTGTGGTTTGCTTTGCGAGGTTTCTGGTTTGTTTTAATATATTTGTGATTTGCTTTAGGAGGATTCTGGTTTGCTTCACCGTGTTTGTGGTTTGTATTAGGGGGTTTCTGGTGTGCTTTAGAAATATTTATGGTTTGTTTTACCGTGTTTCTGGTATGTTTTAGTCAATTTATGATATGCATTAGGAGGTTTCTGGTATGCTTTCGAAATAATTGTGGTATGCTTTGTAAGGTTTGTTATTCTATCCGACGTTCTTACTAGATGAACAAAACGAGGCATCCACATTATCCATCCACGATGAACAAAACGAAGAAGAAAAAAAAATAGTAGAATCACTCATTCACTATACATGGCCTCCTCACCATCAACTCCTTTCTCCCCATCATTCACCTCATCAATCCGTAAGGTAACTGGGGGCGGGAGGTAACAATCCTCTTCGATTCCTGGCGCACCAAGTCCTGGATCGATTACTCCCTCTCGCTCGCCGCCTGCCTTCCTCGCTGCCTCGCACCTCGGCGTCGTCGTCACCACCGCAAATCCTTTCTACACCCCGGTTGAAATCTCCAAGCAGCTCGCCGCCTCGGAAGCTAAGCTCGTGATCACGATTCCAATTTCACTGAAAAAATTAAATCGGAAGCGAAAATCGTCACCATTGACGATGATGCTCTATTTTTCAAATTCGCAGATCTGGGGAAGAGCAGCGGAGTCGCTGGACGAGGAGAACCGGAGAGAAAAGAGTCGCAGTCCAGTCTCGATTTCCTCGACGACAGAGCCGATTTTATGTGGTATCCAGCGATTCCACATGCAACCACTCCTTCGTCGATATCGCTCTTCTAGCTCTGATCCTTGCTCGCCTCGGCTACAACAGGCTAGCCATGGCGATTCTGATCCCTTCTCCAACTTCACCGACACATATTGATAGCGATTGTCGGCGAGGGATTGTGGCCGCTGCTGTTGTTGCTGGTGGTCGCGAAGCCGTCGACGGAGAAAGAATGGCGGAGGTGGTCGCGAAGTCGTCGACGGAGAAAGAATGGCGGAGGGTCCAGAATAGGAGAGGCGGAATCGGAGGATAGGGTAAAGCGGAGAAGGCGAAACGGATATATTTATTGAATTTTATTTTATTAGCGATTGTGTGTAATTACCTCTCTATCCTTGTTGTTACTATAACAACACTTAGAGTGTTGTTATTCTATCCGGGCCCTGTGACAACACCCCTTGTGTTGTTATTGTAACAACACTAGCCTCCAATCAATAGGAATCTAGGATTGTGATGACTTTTTATTAGATGAGTTGACCTAGTGTAAAATCAAAGCAGGGGTATAATTGTCATTATGAAAAATATGTTTAAATAATAATAAAAAATATAAAAAAAATATTTTTTTTATTTTCTGCCCAAATTTTTGGTCGCCGGAATCTGGTCTCGCGGTCACCGGAATATGCTTTTTTGTCGCCGGAACATGCTATTTTGTCATCGGAATATGCTCACCGTCGCCGGAATATGCTTACCGGCATCGGAATCTAGTCACCAGGGCTGGAATATGCTTATCGGCGCCGGACTCCGGTCACTGACGGTCATCGGAGTTTGGTCAACGGTCTTCGTTGACCGGTCAACGGCCAACGACCACCGGATGTTATGGTCTGCATTGTGAGATTTATGGTTTGGTTTCTCATATTTTTGTATGCCTTTTGTGGTTTGCTTTATCGTGTTTGTGGTTTGCATTGAGAAGTTTCTGGTTTGCTTTATCGTGTTTGTGGTTTGCATTGAGAAGTTTCAGGTTTGCTTTCAAAAATTTTGTGGTTTGCATTGAGGGGTTTCTGGTTTGTTTTAATATATTTGTGGTCTGCATTATGACGTTTATGGTTTTCTTTCAAAAATTTTGTGGTTTGCATTGAGGGGTTTCTGGTTTGTTTTAATATATTTGTGGTCTGCATTATGACGTTTATGGTTTTCTTTCAAAAATTTTGTGGTTTGCATTGTGAGGTTTCTGGTTTATTTTAATATATTTGTGGTTTGCATTAGAAGGTTTCTGGTTTTTTTTTTTTTTTTTTGTGGTTTGCTTTTACGTGTTTGTGGTTTGCATTAGGGTGTTTCTTGTGTGCTTTTCAAAATATTTATGGTTTGCTTTGTGAAATTTCTAGTTTGTTTTTGGAGACTTGTGGTTTGTTTTAGGAGGTTTCTATTATGCTTTTTTTGTGGTTAGTTATATCGCATTTGTGGTTTGCATTAGGAGGTTTTTGGTGTGTTTTAGAAATAGTTGTGGTTTGCTTTGTGGTGTTTCTAGTATGTTTTAGGCGATTTGTAGTCTGGATTATGAGGTTTCTGGTGTGCTTTAGAAACATTTGTGGTGTGTTTTATGGTGTTTCTGATATGTTTCAGGAGATTTATGGTTTACATTACAAGGTTTTTGGTGTGTTTTATAGTATGTTTTATTGGATTTATCAACATGCCACGGTCTCTCTTTCAGTGATACAGAAGCAGTCTCGTTGAGTTAATTTTATTTCCCTCACAAATTAGTGAAACATAACACATGTTTTCCATCTCCTTCATCAACATCATCAACTCAATCACTGCCAGTCTGCCATTATGAAATGGTGATACATTTACACCAGCACTAAAACCCGAAATCTGAAAAGGTAGAAACAGTGAATTTTTGTTAGATCTCTCATCCAAATGACTCGTGACCATTGCTTTCTTTCTCTTGAATTAAGCAAAATATATCATCCAAATGACTCGTGACCACAGGTGACAGAGGAGGAAGAAAACAATTGGGATTCACAAGATCAGCATCATGATCAACATGAGCAATAAGCTGAGAGAGTTTGGTCAGATTCGTCGGAACATTTTCTGCCAGAGACACAATAGCTTGGTCTGGTAATGCATAACTTAAGCTCTCATCATGCATCCTTTGCTCCCTGCATGGTTCTGTCACAAGCAAAGCATGGTCAAACTGGAGATGCATACTATACTATGATACCATATGCTAATGACAAAGAAAAATGACAAAAGAAAAAACATTCATGTAGGTGATTTTGCTATACTGGTAGGTTGTTGCATCTCTGATTTCCAAAATTACCAGCATGTTCAGTTCAACAATGAGATGTAGCCATACAGCCAATAAGCTTTATCAGTCCCGATTCTGAATTCCAAAAGCACTATTCGTGTCACAATCAAAACTACTGAAAGTTTAACTAACCATCAGTTCTCTCCAAGTGCTAAGACGTCTAACGAGATCCTGAAAAAAAAAAAAAACGTGATATACTAAATGAAATGATTACCATGAAAGTTACATAAAATTTGCTTGAATAGGCTATGACAATCGCGAGCTGTTAGCCGCCGGAGACTCTCCGCGGAAGCTTCTGGTTCTTCTCGTACTCGAAATTAACACCCGCCGCCGCAGAAGCATCCGCGGAGAAAATCATAACTCCATTAACATCAAACCCATTCCTCTCCAGCATCGCCAGCGCGTCGAAAAACCCGTCCCCTTGAATCCCTCTCCCATTCACCTCGTAGCTCGGCAGCAGCTTCTCCTTCCCAAATTGCCCCGCCCGCAGCCGGAACGCGGCCAGGTAAGCCACCGGGTTCCTAACCTTATCTGTATAGAACTGGTAGTTCACATAATCAACAAGCCCCTCCGAAACAGAGCCGCGTAGGGCGCCACTGTAGTGTGGAACGGCGCAATCGTGGCGACGGAGATCGAATTTTCTCGCTTCAGCAGCGCGATTAGCTCGCCGATGCAGAAGGCGAAGCTTTCGATGTCGCCCTTGCCCCTGCCGGCAGGGGAGAAGAAGAATCGAGATCCAGCAGGAGTGTGAAGGAGACGAGGGTGGGTGGGCTAAATACATTTAATTTTATTAGATTTTAGATAAGTTTACCCTTATACCCTTAATGAATCGTGTTGTTATACTATCCGGGCCCTTAGACGAAGCCTATTAAGAAGACAATATTTTAATTGATGATCCTAGGGTACTCCAAACCGAGGGAGATGATCTCTTAAACTGGACTAGAGCAGGGTTCGAAGATTAAGTATGACTAATTTTGTCTTTGTACTTTGTAGATTGAAATATATATTATATAATTTCCATTATATTTTTCATAGAACAGTGCTTACTATGTGTTTTTTTATATATTGACTCAATAATCATTTTTTAAACATGTCATTCTTGTGTATGGCGTACAAAATGTATTTGTGCTTACCATTTACTGGTGAAGACATTTTATGGCGTAAAAAATGTTATTTTTTCCTGACCAAACTGTGGTCACGAAATTTTTCCTGACGAAATGTTGATTGCGTCAAAAATGTGTTTTACGATATCAGAAAAGTGGTTTTCCTGACCAAATAGTATTGACGAAATTGTACTGTTGTCAATAAAGAATTCTCTCCTGACCAATTAGTATTGACGAACTTTTATGATATCAGAAAATGTTTTTTACTGACTAAAATTATTGACGTAATTTTTATATTATTAGAAAAGGTGTTTTCCTGACCAAATATTATTGATGAAATTTTACTGTTGTCAAAAAAGATTTTTTTTCTGACCAAATAGTACCGACGAAGTGTTTATGGCGTAACAATTGGGGTTTTTCTGACCAATTACTATTGATGAAATTTTGGTGTTGTAAAAAAAAACATTTTCTGACCAATTATTAATGACAAAAAATTCATTACGTCAAAATTAAAAATTTAATTTCAACCATCGGTATTTTGACGTCAATAATAATTATATTTTCTGATGACATATTTTTGTTGGTTAGTAATAATGATTATTTCTAACGCATAAAATGAAGTCGTCAAAAATAATCCGCGTGAAAAATGGAAAGTGGGGCAAAAAACATTTTACTGACGAAAAAATACTATTATTGACAAAAAAAACACATATGTCAGTAATAATTTCATTATTACAAACGAAAATTGCTTTTCGTCGGAATTTTTTTTTTTACGCATTTTTTTAGTCGTTAGTAAGATTTCGTCACAACTGCCTGCCTTTTTTGTAGTGTAAGCAATTGACATCCATAGAGAACACCTTGCCATCCCCACGAAGGTCGAGATCTGGCAGTCGTCGAGAAAATTGACCCATGCGGGAAATACTTACCCTTATAGATTTGAGACAGAAGCGAGTCTGGCTCCGCATGAACACGCCATGTGATCTTAGCCAGTAGAGCCTGATTAAATAGCTCACCTCATATCCTTATTACACAAATACAATATTTTTATCAGAGTAATTAAAACAACATATTCACGTAATATAAATATCATATTGTTCTAAAACATATAACATATTCACGTAATACAAATATCATATTCTTCTAAAACATATGTTATATTCACGTAATACAAATATCATATTCTCATTACACATATACAAATATCATATTCTTATAGAAATATGGTATTTATGTTATGTGAATAATTTATCTGTATTATGAGAATACAGTTCATTTCATTAAAAATATATGAGTCTTTTTATATCATGCAACAATTAATATAAATTAGAGCGGCGAATAGCAAAACATTATCTCATATATGGTAGTTGATCTTCTACTGTTAGCGAAGGTGATAGAAAGGGCCAATACTATGGTACGGCGCCGATGCCGCTGTATTTAATTGGTCAACGTGGCCATGATAGTGTGACATGCCAATAATAGTTAAATTCCAAACTTCCTATACTGTTGTTATTATTCCAGCCTTGACGGACGAACAAAGCGAGAAACCCTAATAACCCTAATTTGCCCACACCCCATTCTCAAGGAAATCCTAAATTCACCAATTCGGATACGCAATACATCTACGAAGGGGCCAAAGCCGAGCTCTGATATGATTATTGCGAATTATTTTCAATCTCAGTTATAAAAGGGTCAATGTGCGACGAGTAGATGCATGTCGGTGGAATTCCGGTGGGTCTGAATAGGTTCTTTGGGGTGGCCGGAGCAGTTTTGTATTCTCAATGTATTCTCGCCGGAGCAGTTTGGACTGAGAGAAGGAGATCGACGCCGAACCGCTTCACTTTCCCTTCGTTTCCTTGGTTTCTCAAGAGAGAAAAAAATAAAACTGAACAAAATAATTTGGGGAGAAAATGATGGGGAAAAAGCAACGGAAAGAATTTCGTCCGTTTGGGTACGACTTTGGTTCGAGCCAATTTCAATAGGTTAGTAGGCTTTGGGCTCATAATAAATAAACCAGTACCTGTCAGGCCACGTAAGCTCCACATGGACCAATAGAAAACAGTGTCACCAGTGCCACACTTTTTAAAGCGGCACCGTAGTATTGACCGATAGAAAGAGAGGTGCTTACCAATTGTTCTAACTGGAGACCAAGGCCAGGTTACGAACTAATATTACCAAAATTCCATGACAAACAGCAAAGCTCAAAACCGCTGAATGCTGCCTAAAATGAGTCCTTAGAGTTGGGTGGAAAACCATTACGGCAGTGGTGTTGATCACAGATTCACACAACATTTTGTGGCTAATCAAATATGAATTTTAAATAGTTATTTAAGGACTAGTAGATTGGTGGATTCATCAATTTGGATCAAACATATTGGTAGATTTATCAATTGAACAAATGGATTGGTGGATTGGACTTATGAATCCAAGTGACATTTAAACAGTCGAATCAATATTAAATTTTGCAAAGGTTAAGTACTAAAAAGTCATAATAAAACAAAGTTAGGTACCCAATACGCAATTTTTCAATAATATTTGAGGTAAACGAGTTTAAATATGAAAAGTATAGGTACTAAACTTTAATTTTTCAAATATCAATGAATCCAGCAATCGAAACATTAGATTAATTTGATATTTTAATTGGTGGTTTGGATATGATTAGTGTATTTGATACATAATTGATTACCACCTCAAATATCAAATATTCTCCTAACCAAATTCGTGCTTATGCCATTTGTGTCTTTCATATTAATTTCTTTATTATTGGGGGTATCTTTTTCATACCGTGTGACCAAATAGATAACTTCTTCATAACAACATTCTATAGTACTAGAACCCTTAAACTTGTCCAACGAACTCCTCAAACAACTTGGCGAACACTTCCATTCGATTCTCCTCCAAAGCCAAACCAACCTCCACGCCGCCGCTCCCATCTCCGCTCTCGCACAGCGCCACCGACCTCGAGCTATCCAACTGCACCACCGCGCTCTTCCTCGGCCTCCCCCACCCGAAATCCGTCTCGTACGCCTTCAGCTTCGGCGACCCAGCAATCACCACCACCCTCCCTCCCTCCGCCACCTCCCTCCACGTCGGCATCCACCGCTCCGCCGCTCCCACCCATTCCCCCTCCCTCACCCTCCTCCCAATCGCCTCCGCCGCTCTAAAAAACCCGCCTCCTCCAGCTGCCAGATCCCCTCTCTTCTCCCCTACAAACGTCGGGCCGAGGCAGTTCCCGAGGAACGACTCCGGCAGCTCGATCCCCAGCCGGCGCCGGCAGTCGGCGGAGAAGCCCAGGTGGTAGACCCTGTCGGGGTCGTCGGAAGAGTCCCCCACGCCTTCTGATTTGATTAGAGTGACCCAGATCAAAGCGCACGTCACCACGAAGGTGGACACGTGGGCCTGCTCGGGATTCGCGCTTCGGACCCGAGCTTTCAGTTTGTCGAGGTTGGGCTTGGTGATCACCATTGTGGACCGGACCTTGTTCGAGAGGTTGAGCTGTCGGGGTGCTGCTCCGGCGTTGTAGTTCCATGTCGACAGCCAGTCGAACCACTGTTGCAGCAGGGCTGATTCCAGGTCGCCGTACTTTTCCCTGATTAGTTCCCTGATCATTTGTTATGGGAGAATCCAAGTACCACATCGGTTATACAAGAGAAGGAACCCTTGTATATTAGTGTCCACCAATCTCATTAGTACGAGGCCTTTTGAGGAGGACACCCAAGAGTAAAAACCGTGCGGGCTTGGCCCAAAGCGGACAATATCGTACTAATTGAGCGCCCCGATTTTGACAAGTGGTATCAGAGCCTGGTTCGGTTGGGGCGGTGGACGTCAGTTTGGTGGACCCTCATTCGGTGACCTCGGGGTTTGAGATCTGCGTTTGGTTTGGTGGATCCAGGAGAGATCCACGTTTGGGCTTGGCGGATCAAAGAGAGTTCCGCATTTGGGAAGCAGATCAAAGAGAGTTCTGCGTCTGGTAAAGTCCTTGTATCGAGAAGCCCATCGATACAAGGCATCTGGCGGATCAAGATAATCTCTGAGGTGAGGACACGATGTTCGTGGTCCTTGGCTTGAGGGGAGGATTGTTATGGGACAATCCAAGTACCACATCGGTTATACAAGGGAAGGAACCCTTGTATATTAGTGTCCACCAATCTCATTAGTACGAGGCCTTTTGGGGAGGACACCCAAGAGTAAAAACCGTGCGGGCTTGGCCCAAAGCGGACAATATCGTACTAATTGAGCGGCCCGGTTTGACAAGTGGTATCAGAGGCTGGTTCGGTGCGGGGCGGTGGACGTCAGTTTGGTGGACCCTCATTCGGTGACCTCGGGGTTTGAGATCTGCGTTTGGTTTGGTGGATCCAGGAGAGATCCACGTTTGGGCTTGGCGGATCAAAGAGAGTGCCGCATTTGGGAAGCAGATCAAAGAGAGTTCTGCGTCTGGTAAAGTCCTTGTATCGAGAAGCCCATCGATACAAGGCATCTGGCGGATCAAGATAATCTCTGAGGTGAGGACACGATGTTCGTGGTCCTTGGCTTGAGGGGAGGATTGTTATGGGACAATCCAAGTACCACATCGGTTATACAAGGGAAGGAACCCTTGTATATTAGTGTCCACCAATCTCATTAGTACGAGGCCTTTTGGGGAGGACACCCAAGAGTAAAAACCGTGCGGGCTTGGCCCAAAGCGGACAATATCGTACTAATTGAGCGGCCCGGTTTGACATCATTAATTAACAGCCAACCCACAACGTCAAAATTATCCCGTTATATTTGTCGACAGCACGTAACGAATTTTAAATATGATGTGGCTGACAGGTGGTATGACATTACAATTTGCAATTTGACATGAGTTTATATCAACATGTGGTTAACGTAATTAACGACATCGATCTGGTTATAGTTATCAAACGAGCACCTCATATCTGATTATATTTATAATTTTTTTAAAAAGGTTTGTTACTAGTGTTACAAACACTAAAATTATTATTATTATTATTTAAATATATTACTTTAAAACGGTAATGATAGCAATTGTGAAATGAAAAATTAGAGTACTAGTGTGAGAAGAGAAAAACAAATTTTTTACTTGGCCATTTTCTCACTCGATCCAAAGAGGGACAAAATGGTGGGAATGCGAGTGAGAGGCATGTGCAACCGGAGAGGATGGAGGAAGAAAAGGAGGAGAAGGAATAGAATTAAAACACTTTTTCCTTTAATTTATCCATAGATCTAATATGGTTTAACTTAATTAATCTGAACATAAGAAGAAGCATAGTCCACGACACAACACCTCTTTAATCACCAAATCTTTTCCATTGTATATATTACAAATTAACACCCTAGTATATTCTTTCGAATCAAGTCTCTTGTCAACGTTAGGTGACAAAAACACATAATTCACGCATTTTTTCATTTATTCAAGTCATATTGGCGTTATTCACGGTATATTGGCGTTATTCACGCAACCAATATTGTTTAGTCACGCAACCTGGTATTTATTCACATATATTGTTATTTATTCACGCTATTGTAAAATTAAATTTTAAACTTTGAAATATATCAAAATGGATGTCATTGTGTAGATTATGATCAATGCAGCATATTTTTACAAATTAATTGAGAATCCAAATTTAATTCCATAAAATATACCCAATACAAATTATTAAGGGAAAAAGTCTAATTTTTCACTTACGTAAATAACTGACATTCTTACGTGAATAAGCATAGTATTACGTAAATACACATTAAATGGTGTGAATAATCACAAAAATACGTGATTAAACTGTTAGTAGGTGTTTTGTCACCTAACGTGACGAGAACTTTTCCCATTCTTTCTATCATGATACAATTTTTTTCTATTTTGATACATTCTTTCTATCATGATACATTTTTATACTATCACAATATCATATTTTGCACACAAAAATAAACTATGATGCTATACAATACCAAAACATATCTTAAATAATGTTTTAATTTTTGCTTCAAAAAATTTTCAATTTTAAAGAGAATAATTAATCTAATTTTTTTAATAATTTTTTAATCTCAAAACAAAAACAAAAATATAAATAATCCGCTAAGTTTTATTGACAAATTTCTATGCAACTAATGCAAGAGCTAGGTAACCAAATTTGGTCCGATTGACTGACCAAAGCTTTCTATTCGTACCAATCAATCCAACCCGAACTGATTAGGAAGCGAAGCCTTTTCAATTAGCGAAAAACCAAACCTGTGTTGGAGGTGATCAGCCGGCAGGGTAAGCTGATCACAAGTGCCAACATCACCACCAGTAGCGCCCGATCGGAGCAGAGCGGCCCACAACTTCATGAAGCAGTGGAAAGCCATGCCGTCCGCAGCCACATGGTGGAACTGAACCCCGATGCACAATCCCCTGTTGGGGAAAACCGTAACCTGCACCGCCAATAGCGGCGACAATCTCGCGCCGTCCTCGGACCGAACCTTCACCGGATTCATCTCCGGCACCAACGGATGGAATTCCCTCACGTCCCTGGGCTGGTTCCCGATCAACGGCTCGTAATCGACGTCGGACTCTGCCTCCGCGATGGTGAGCGGAACAGAGTCGGAGGCAGGGGAGAAGCAGAGGAAGGGGAGCTGAGGCGGCGGAGGAACGACGAGGCTGCCGGCGAGAGGGAAGAAGCGGTGGAGGGCTAGGGAGAGGGAGCGACGGAGGAGGGGGAGGGTGGATTGGGTGAAGTGGAGGGTCGGGTAGGGGAAGTCATAGAAGAAGAGGCGGCGCATGGGGCGGGAGTTGAGCCACATGACGTCGAAGAAGGTTATTGGAAGAGAGGCGGCGGAAGGGTCGAGGGATCCCGCCGGCGGGGAGACTTGGAAGCTGTGGAGTTGTTTTGTCTTGACGGGGTTGGATTGGTGATGGAGATCCATTATTGGTTGTAGCGGAGCGGATGATGGAAGAGGGAGATAGAGAGAGGGATGAATATGAAGCTAGAGAGAGGAGCCTCGGCCTAATTTTGAGGTGTTTAGTATGGGCGCTTGTCATTTTTTATTTGATTTGCTTCGCTTCTTAATTTCCTCGTACGTGGAAGTCGGATTTGGCGACCCACCAAATTTATTGAGACGTCAAATCTATGGAGCACATGGAATTTTTTTTTTTTTTTTTTTACAATAGGAGCACTTTTTCTTTTCATAAGGGTGAAAGTTTAATTAAAAAAATGAAGGGAACAAGGAAGATCAAAGAGAGTTCATAAAAGCTGAACCTCTCAAATCATAAGTACAAACAAGGAAAAAAAAGGGGCCAGCCACCACCAAAAGCAGGAAGAAGAAGAAGAAGAGGAGTGCAGTTGAGTGGATCAGGCCCCTCCTACTGCACCAGACCCTCTGTCACCAGGTCACAAGGTCAGATCACGATCGTCAGGGCAAGTGTGGGAGAGGAGCCACAACCACTCGTCCTTGTTAATCTCGCTGCTCAGACCCTCTGTCACCACCCAGCTAAGAAGAGTTCTACCAATCTTGTGGAAAATGGACTGCCGACTATGCTTCTCATCGTTAAACATCCTTCCATTTCATTCCTTCCAAACCTCCCAAGTGAAAGCGTGGAGCAAGGTTGTCAACCCGCGGGTTGACCCGGACCCGGTTGAGCTAGTGGGTCAAGGGTTAATGGGTCACCCATTTTAGCCCGATTTAGCCCGGAAATATGGAAAGTGTCATTATATTGTACTTATCCTGATAAATTATATCAAATCTCATCTAACATATGAGTTATAACATATAATATTACACGAAAATTACATTTCGTGCTTAGATTCAACATATAGTGAAAATTCACACACACTTATATAACATTAATATTCAAATGTTCAACTTAGGATTCCAAAGATTGAGTTAGACGAAAAGAAAAATCGGAAAATAGGCGCATTTCGTAAAACAAAGAAAAAAATGACACAATTTGACCTCAAACCCGGTACCTTGTGGCGGTCGACCCGGCGGGTGCGTGCGGCCCGTTTTTCTCACCGGGTCAGGGTCAAAGTGGGTCAACCCGCGGGTTGACAACCTTGGCCGTGGAGAAAAAGATGGACGAACAGTTCAAGCCAAGCGGAAGGATCCTCAGTAGGCCAGCTCTGAATCACATTCTACATCTCATCTGCATGGGGTCCGAAAACCTTTAAAACTTGCATGAAGGAACTCCAAATACTATTACTGAATTTGCATTCTCTAAACAGATGGTTAGTAGTCTCGATGTTCGCCTCACACAGTGTACATCTACTTGCAATGTTCCAACCACGTCGCATCAGGTTGTCTTGTGTTAAAATTCGATTGTGATAGACAGGCCATAGAAAGCAGCTTATCTTCGAGGGCACCTGTGCACGCCACACAACCTTGTGCAGAAAGTTTGAGATGTCGGGAAACTTCTCGGAACACATACTTTTGTACATGGATCCAACAGAGAATCCCGCCTTAGGATCGGGCACCCACACCAACATGCAAGGACCCATGGAAATCCAACTAAGAGGCAAATTCGATAGATAATTAAAAAGATCAACCCTCTCCCTCTCAGCCCCCCCCCCCCTTCTCTCAAAGAAATATTCAGAGAAATATTCCAACTTACAGTATCCGGAGCACTTGTATTGCATTGAGAATCACAGTTACAAGGAGTGAGAGAAACACAATGAAAGCAAACAATAATGGACTCTAAAGTCAGAACAATCGAAACAGAAGAATCCACAACAAAAGGCTATCAATGTGAACCCAGAACCCCTTGCTTCCACAACAATCAGCACAGCACAAGCAGGGTTTCAACTCGCCCGAAACCAAACAAGCCCATGGCTATTGAACATTGCAACGCCATAAGCCGCCACCTGGGGATCATTCAAAGACGACCCATCACAGTGAATCTCATGGAAGAGAAAACTCGGCGGTGAGCAGGCTGAAACCGGGATGCTCTGAGCTGAAAGAGGTCGAGGAAGCCGAAGGCATGGATGACCAGGAACCAGAAAAGAGAAGATTCATCTTCAGCATCTCCAGAGAACCAGCGAACCATACCCCACCGCACCGAAGATGACACCAAACCCCCACAAAAGTCGACTGAAAGGCTTCAAGCAAAGCAGAGGTAGAAGGAAGGGAGGAACAGTGAATCTGCCCACCAAAAGAGATGAGCACACCAACATGGAGCAGACCCCCAGCAGCAAACCACCATTAGAAGCCCCCCAAGCTGCAATTTTCGGATCCAAAGCCAAAGCCAAACAGATCTAGAAATCAGAAAACACTGTGGATAAACCACTTGGAGAATGACCACAAGGGACGGAAAAAGCCAACATGGGAAGGAAAAAGCAGCAGGACAAGCAAGGGGGGAAAAGCAGGAAAGGAAGAGGATGGGCCACCGCTGGACACCCAAGGGAACCGGCGGCAGCCCTTAATGGAAGGGGAGAAGCTTGACTTTAGAGAGAAGGGAGAGCTAGCAATTCAAAATAAAAGTAAGAGAGAGAAGCGTGAGCACATGGAATTGGACGATTTAGCCTAACGTAAAATGATAGATTTTGCAATATATTATCTTTTTACCTTTTAAATATTGTCATAATTGGTTATTCAATAGCCTAAATTTTATGTGAGGTGGGTCCGGATTATTTTTAACTTTGGAAGAAAAATTTGAGTCATTGTAGTGCCCCAGAATGTGTTCTCATATATTGACGGACTTGCATTCATATGATATCGATGTCAATATATCCTATACAATAATCATTCATGATTTTGTCACTCATTAGATACCAAAGAGTGTTTTCACATGGCTCATTGAAAATGTCATTTCAATACTTGCAGTGGAGCCTTAGTTAGCAACAACAATAAGTTACTTTTTTCAATTACCATGATTAGAAAAATAACTCCTAATTCTATATAGTTTTAGACAATAGCTAGCATATATTTACATCAAAGTATACATACAATAATCTAGTTGAAGTTTAAAACCTGATATATTGAATTTATTATTAGGATAAAAATAATCTAGCGAGTTTCAACAAAAGAAAGTTTTGGCGGTATATAATGAATAAACCTGAAATGGTTGAACCACGATTAAACCACGTTTTCGACATAAAATATCCTACCATTGACTTGTCCGATATAACCTTTGGTACAATTTTTAATCCTTATTATTTAGGCGTATATATTTTCTCTCGAGCCAAGGTGGGTCTCGGGACCCACCTTAGTATGCACTAGCTCCGCCACTGACTATATTACCTTTATTGTGTAAATGAGGGGTAGTTTCGTTTCTCCGATTGTTAAATCGGTTTGTGGTCAATATATGTACTATATTATACATGCATTGTTGAATTTTATGTACTGTAGATTACAACGTTTGGTATATGTGTTTGTGTTTTCAATAGATAAAAAGAAAAGTCACTTTTTAATGGAAATGTCACTTTTATCCCTTCTTTTCAATGCATGATATAATTTGTAAAGGTTAAAGTTGGAAAAAAACAATTTCAACTAGACAATTCCGAGACAATCGAACAATACATACTATGGTGATGGCCTCGTGGTGCAAGTTGCTTATGGAAGTATTTTTGTATAGAGTCTATGAAGTGTAGAATGTTAAATGTGGATGCTTCTACTTTATAAAAAGACTGACCACAATGGGAGTCGAATCAACGACATTTTTATCCGAAGTCAAAGGAGATAATTCACTGAGATATACGGTCAAGATGAATAAAATGTGCAAGAATATAAATATATTCATCATATATATAAGCAAATAGAAAAAGCAAAAGAGATATGATTTTTTTTTTGCTATGGCTGACCACCTTACAAACAGTTCGCACCATGCGGCCCACCGGCTCTCACCTTTAGGGATAATATTTAGCTCCAACCCGCATTGGAGGAGCTGTATGCAACCAGCTACGTGGCTGATAGGGATTGGCCCGAGTTCATTAACAAGCTTTCCTTTTGTAACTTGTGGTGTGGACGGAAAGCAAACGACAGACCCGATGCATTCGATTACTGCTGTTGTGGCTATCTTCCACATCCATGAGACAGACCCGATGCATTCGATTACTGCTGTTGTGGCTACTCTTTGGGCCATTTGGAATACCAGAAATGCAAAGGTGTTCAAAGGAGTGAATCCTCATATCGAGACTACTGCTAGGAAAGCTTTCAGCTACTTCTCTGATTGGAGCGGGCTTCATCATCACCCACCGAGTGACCCTTTTTCCACTCCCCTTCCCCAGCACCCCTCACATTGTACAATCATTGATCCACCGCCAGGAAATTCCCAGTTGGTAATCCACTGTGATGGAGCTTTTAGCTCGGAATCACAGATGGCGGCATATGGTTTTGTTGTTCGTAACATCCATGGACAAGTGGTTGACGGTAAGGCTGGGACTCTGTTTTGTTCATCAGCGATTGTGGCAGAAACCAAGGCACTCCTCTCGGCAATCAAGCATGCACAATCATCAGGAGCGTCGACTTGTATTCTCTCTGACTGTCAAGTCCTTGTTCATGCTGTCAACGGCTACTCAAATACGTGGCCATGGCAAGTGAGAGCTTGGATTCATTGCATTCGACATATCCTTGGGACAAACGATCAAATTCGGGTTGCTTTTACACCTCGAAATTGTAACAAGAGTGCTGACTGGGTTGTCCAAAGAGGCTGCGAAAGGAACTCTTCCTCATGATTGGATCTTGATCCTTGACTTGATTGCGCCTTTATTGTAATGTTCCTGGCTTGTATCACAATCGTTTTATGAATGAAATAAAGCTTGTTTGTCAAAAAAAAAACGACAATTCCAACTTCTACTTTTTTATGCAACCTGTTCCTTTTTATTAAAACTCCAAACAAACAATATACAAGAACAAAATAAATCATCGGGATTTTGTTTAGGTTATCGTATGACATTATCATAAATTAATTAAAAATTAGATATAATACTATATCATAAATTTTACAAACTCTAAGACCTAATTCCTTAAAACTAAACTCAAATTATCATTTTGTATGTATCAATTAAAAAAATATTATAAAAGTCTTCT